TGAGGGGATCCCAGGCTCCGGTGCCGACCTGCGGCCAGAGCTCGGTGAGGGAGTTCCGGGGCTCGGTGGAAGTTCCCGCGGTTTCCGCCCCGCCACCGTTGCCATAACAACGAGTGGACGCTGCTTCAAATCTCCGCCTCCCTTCCCGTCTCATCCAATCAGAGCCCTGGTTGCCTCGCGCGCTGACCAATGGGGATAGGCGTCCCTCCCTCCCTCTCCTCGTGGAGGCCGCCGCGCGCCGGGAGGTGGGCGGAGCCGGCGGGCCAATGGCGTGAGGGAAATGCCAAGGGCTGAGTTCCGGTTGGCTGCTGCTGCCCGGCGCCTCCTGTGATTGGCTGCTGTTGCCTGGAGCCGCCTGTGATTGGCTGCTGCGGCTCGGCGCGGCTGAGGGGGAGGAAGATGGCGGCGCGGCATGGCGAGGAGTGAGGGGCGCCGGGGGTCCCGCGGCGCTTCCTGGGCTGCAGAGCCGTGTCCGACCTCCCCCTACGGCCCAAGGGCCCCGGCCCCCGGCACCAGTGGCTGGGCTGGCACGGTTTGTGTTGAAGGGGACGTGGAAGCTCATCCAGTGACACCTCCTGCCATGGCAGGGACACCTCCCACTGTCCCAGGCTGCTCCAAACCCCGTCCAGCCCGGCCTTGGGCACTGCCAGGGATCCAGGCCACAGCTGCCCCGGGAATTTCATCCCAGGGAGGAATTTCTTCCCAAAAGTTCAGAGGAAGCTGGGACGATTGGAGCAGGTTCCTCTTATCCTCTCCTCTGCTCATCCCGTGTCCATCACCGATGGATGGGGAGTGTGGAACTCCAGTCCCTTTGACCACTGCAAGGTCCTGGAATCATGGAATGCTTTGGGAAGGGGCCTTAAAGCCCATCCAGTGCCAGCCCAGCCATGACAGGGACATTCCCACTGTCCCAGGCTGCTCCAGCCCGGCCTTGGGCACTGCCAGGGATCCAGGGACAGCCCCAGCTGCTCTGGGAATTCCATCCCAGCCAGGAATTCCTTCCCAATATCCCAAAATCCAACCAGTGGGAGCCATTCCCTGTGTCCTGTCCCTCCATCCCTTGTCCCCAGTCCCTCTCCAGCTCTCCTGGAGCCCCTTCAGGCCCTGCAAGGGGCTCTGAGGTGTCCCTGGAGCTTCTCCTCTCCAGGGGAACATTCCCAGCTCTCCCAACCTGGCTCCAGCCCTGGAGCAGCTCCGGGGCCTCCTCTGGACTCTTCCCTCCCTGTGCTGGGGACCTGGGCACACCTGGGCCCCAAGGATGTGTCCCAAACTCCCAGAACAAGCTCGTTAGAACAGGATGTGGTTGGAGAAAGGAGGAACACGAAGCTGGGGCAGCACCTCCTGGGGCTGCTTCCCTTCTGCTCCGTGGAGATAAGGGCAGTAGGAAAAGGCAGGGCAGGAATGGAGTCAGGAAAGGGGCACAGAGTGTCAGCCAAAGATTGATCCAGGAGAGGTGGCTCAAGAGCCCCAAAGCCCCTTTCCAGAAAGCTCTGGGAGAAGGGACTGTGCATCCTCACTCATTTACATGAAAAAGGAGAAACCTAATTTCAGGGGGAAAATGTGCCCTCAGGACAGGATCAGTGCTGGAGCCAGGTTTGGTGACCTCCTTCCCTCTCCCATCCGATCTCCCTCTCTCTCTTCCCTCTTTTCTTTTATTCTTTTATTTCTCTTATTACCAGAAGATAAAGGAAAAAATACCGATTTCCATGCTGAGTGTTTAATTTAATAATCAAGCTCTGTGAGATTTTTTTGGACCTTCTGATCCTTGGTCCTTTTTAACCACGGGCATCCTCAAAACTCGGGACCTCCTCCTCTTCGGAGCAGGATCTCTGGATGGTTTATTCCCTTTTTCAGTGTTCCTGTCCAAAGGAATTCAGTTCCTCTCTGAATGACACCCCTGAGACTCTCCTCTGATGTAATGGGGGGATCCCTTGGCACATCCCAAACTTTCATTTTTTGGGAATTATTTGTCTTTCAGCCCTGTGCTGTGTGCAGGATAACCTTTGGAGCTCGGCATCCCTCGTGGACACACAAATGAAGCCCATGGCTGTGTGCATACCACAGGGGATAATTAAATGTAAATCTGCATATTCAGGGGGCATTAAGCTGATTTTAAAGCTTTTTTTCCCTTTCAGATTGTTGATTTGAGGCGGCTGAGACAGAACTGGCTCCTCTCTGTGGGAAATTCAGTCCCGTGTTTCACTCAGCCACCTCGGCTCCTCCTCTTTGCCAAAACCATGGGGGTTTTGGAGAAATTTAGACCCGTTTGGGACTGTGTTTGATTAGGAATTCCCTAAACTTTCTCCCTGGTGTGTTTTTTGGGGGTTTTTCCCCCGTTCCTGGTGCGTGACAATGGTTTGTTGCGCGGCCCTGAACTGCCGGAATGCCACGAGCGGGACCTACAAGAACAGCTCGGTCAGTTTTTATCGATTCCCCCTCCAAAACAAACCCCTCCTGAGACAGTGGATCCAAAACATGGGCAGGGACATGGAGACCCCCTCCAAATACCAGTGCCTGTGCTCGGAGCATTTCCAGGAGAGCTCCTTCAAGACGGATCCTCTGAAAATCTGCAAGAAACGGCGCCTGCTGAAGGAAGCTGTTCCCAACAAATTCATCCTGGGGGAAGATGGGACCTGGCTCGTGGGGACCCCACAGGGTTTTGGTGACGTGATGATGAGCAGCAAAACCCGAAAACGGATCCGGAATTCCGAGCCCTGTAGGGTAATTGATGGGCTGGATAGTGGGAATAAATTAAATTAAAGGGAGATTTGCATGTAAAGCCTTGGAAGCAGCTTGGGAAAATATCCCTTAGAGGGTTTAATTAATAACAATAATATTGTTATTCCCTAATAATAAGGTTTCATTACCAGGGAGGAGCTTTCCCAGCCAGTGTGACAGATCATGGCACTGCCTCAGGGTTTATTTAAAACACTGAATTACTTTATTTTTCATTGAAGGAAGAACCACATTCCCTGAGGGGGCTGGGCATGGATGCTGACCACAGATATCTGGTTTTATGACTAATTTCTGACCCAGTTGTTGGAGCAAATCATTGTTCTGGCTGAGTCACATCACTTTAAAGCCTTTTCTCTCGTTCTGGATTAACAGTAGAAGGTTCTTATGTAAAATCCTTCATTAATATGCTCCTAACACACAGCACAGACATGGCTGGGAGGTGCCCACGTGTTCAAACTGTTGGGATAAGAGGGTTTTCAGGGATCCACAGCTCCCCTGACTGTGGAACATTTTGCTTTTTAGGTCCCTGGGATGTTTCCTCAGTGGCCACGTCTGCAGGATTGGCAGAATGAATTTTATAAGCTACTGCTGAAGGAGAAGTATGGATCTTTGATCACACTGGGAAAAGGTCAGTTTTCCCTCTCCCAAGGGACACACACTGGGTCTGGCCGGGCTCTTGACACTCCTCAAATCCCTGGAATTTTAGAGAATCCATCTTTAGGTGCTTGTGAATCTTTGTGAGAGAGAAGAAGCTCCATAATTTTCCTTTAAAATGTTGAAGGACAGCTTAGGATCCCAGGGAATGCAGCTGCCAACAAAAATGAGGAGCAAGGAGTGGAAAAAGTTTGGATACAGGAGCTGCAGTGACACACAGGCTCATTAATCCTGTACCCTCATTAATTATAGTGAAGTTGTGTTTTCCTCATCCCCAGACCCTGGTGTATGTCTGGGTTTGGGATTCACTGAAGAGAATTGAACTATTTTGATGCAGAAATAGTGAAATAACTTGAATGATGCCCAGAAAATGAAGAAATCTCATTAATTAGCTTTAAATGCCCAACTATGTGTTTGCTTGAAGTCACTGATATTTTAAATCTGAAGCTGTGAGTCCTCCCTGGCTCCTCAGCATTCAGGGGATTCCTTGGATTGGTTCCTAGAAGAACCTGCTGAAGTTGGGGGCATTGCACGAGGAGGAATTAGCTGGGAAAAAGACAGGACTGAACCATAAAAATCCAGCACCAGGCGGCTGAATTTGGGGTGAAGGCTCAAATCAGAGACCTTCCACTTTTCAACATCCAATCTTCAACCTTCTGGGTGTAATTTATGGAATAATTTATAAAAGTTGGAGCACAAATCCTTTTCACCTGCATCCCAGACCCTCTTTTAGACACCAGGGCAGCTGCTGCTGCTCCCTCCTCACTGGATCTTTTCCTGGAATAACAGAGATGCTCTTTAGAGAGTGGATGATGCAGGGATTTGCTGGAAAATCATATTAATGGCCAGCATTCCCATGTCCTTCCTGGTCCTTGTTCAGACTGTCCTGTCCCCAAAAGCCATATCCCAGCAGGAGGAGTGGTGTGGGTCAAGGATCTGCAGGATTTGGAGGGAAGGAAAACTCCTGCCAGCCTCAGCAGAGGTGTGTGGTGTTGTGGGGATTCACTGGCAGCACCTTGAAATTGGTAGGATTGGAGGGATGGGGGATTCCACCTCATCCCTGCTGGTTTTTGGGGTTTTTTTAACCCAAAATTTAAGGGTTTTGTCCAGAAACAGTGAATGGGGAATTGTTTTTCTTTGGAGATTTGTGTTCTCTCACATCAAATACATGGAATATTTGGAATCTCCTTGTTCCAGGCCACAGTGATGCCACAATCCAGGCTGCAGGAGGCACACAACTGCACGGATCATCCTCGGGAGCATCCCGAGCCCCTCACCAGGCAGAAACATCGGGGAGCCACCACAATCCAGCCAGAAATCCCCTGGGAACCGGGAGTGGGAGCAGCATCCTGGCAGGGCAGGAGCTGGATGAGTTCAGGAGGTTCCTGCAGTACCACCAGGGCCGGCCCGAGGAGGAGGTGGCGGTGCCGTGGTTTATCTGCGCCGAGTGCGGGAGGAGCTTTGCCCGCCACGCGTACCTGCTGCGCCACCAGCGCACCCACGCCCCTCCGAGGGAAAACCCACCCTCCACACCCACCTCGGGATGTGTTCCCACATCATCCACGTGCCACAAACCTGCCTGGGGTAAAGCTTTGCACTCAGCTGCCAAAAATCCTGCTCTGCCCACAGGTGGGGGTTTATAGTCCTGCGTGCATTCGGGTGGAGTTTGGAAATAAGGCGGTTTTTGTGATTCGATTTGCTGCTGGCCTGATGGTCATTGGTTAGGAGCTGGATCATCCCTGTCATTCTTACCATGCTCCTCCTTGGAGCAGGAGTTGGATTGGGCAGCATTGGCTGTACCAAAAGGGGAGTTAAAAAAACCTGGTGCACCAAGCAACACGTGCTGGAGAGCATCCAGAGTAGCACAGAGAAACACTGCAAGTTTTCAGGGATGGAAAATGAAGATTTGGGAATAGGATTGTAAGATGATGTTTGAGGCAAGAGATTCTGGGCATTATTTCCCCACTTCTGCTGCTTTCCCTTTACTGTACCTGCAGAACTAACTCTATTTTTGGGTTCTGTTTTTATATTGACCCCATGTTTTCCTGTGGGGTGAGATGCTGCTTTGGTTTCTGGAATTTGGGGGGAAAAAACCCATGGATACATTCTCAATGTGTGTACAGTGTGTCAGTGATGTTTCTCTGGGAAGTGGAAATGCAGCAGGGAGAAGGGAGAGGAGAGGAGGGGTGGCCTATGGAGGCAGCACATGCAGATTTTGTGTTTTCTCCCCACGTGTTGGTGGTTTTCAGCATTTTTGAATATTCCAGTTGAGTGCCAAGAGGGAAAATGTGTTGACTCCAGTTGGAGGGGTGTCCTCAGTCACAGACTCCATCTGGAATGAAGTCTCTGGGCTCAGCAGCCCCTGAGGAGCAGCAGAGAACACGCAGCTGGTGCTGTGCTGGAGTGCCACAAATTCTGAGCAGGACTGGGAAAACACACGTGGCCCCAAAGCATCCTGCCCCACCCCAGGTACAGGAATAATGTCCCAAAACCATTTTGGCACTGGCTTCTCATTGTTTCCTTCTCGTAAGTGAAGTCCTGGGGTTGGCTTTGCTTTTATTCCTCATAGAATCCCAGATTGGATTGGAAGGGATGTCAAAGCTCATCCCATCTCACCCCTGCTATGGCAGAGACACCTCCCACTGTCCCAGGGTTATCCAAACCCCCCCCAGCTGCTCTGGGAATTCCATCCCAGCCAGGAATTCCTTCCCAATATCCCAAAATCCAAGCAGTGGGAGCCATTCCCTGTGTCCTGTCCCTCCATCCCTTGTCCCCAGTCCCTCTCCAGCCTGGGATGTTCCAGTGTGGGATTTACAGCCTGGCCATCCTGCACTGTTCCCAGCCCCTCACTCCTGAGAGCTGCTGTGTCAGACCCCACTGCCACAAAGAGCGGGATCTTCAGCAGGTGCCATCCTGGGGATCAAAGCTTCTCCCAGGAGGAACTGACATTCCCAGGGAAACATCACCTGCGTGGTAAGAGATGTTTGGAAAATGTTGGGAATAAACCAAGCAAACCCTGTCTGTGCTGGCAGGAGGTGAATCCTGACATGGAGAAACCTCTGAGGCTGAGGGAGCTGGGAAGGGGCTCAGCCTGGAGCAGGGGAGGCTCGGGGGGAATTTCTGGCTCTGCACAAGTCCCTGCCAGGAGGGGACAGCCAGGGAGGGGCTCTGCTCCCAGGGAACAAGAAAATTCCAAATGGCCTCATATTTGGGTTGGATATTGGCAAAAACGTCTTCATGAAAAAGGCTCAGCCCTGGGGCTGTGGGGCAGCTGGGGGACAGGGAGCGCTGACAGGGAGGGAAATGGCTGCTCCAGGACCCGTTAACCCTTCTTGTCCCACTGCCCTCCCTTCCCCGGGGCCCTGTCCAGCCCAGGTGAGCCCCCGACATGGCCCGTCCATAGGAACCCTGGAACACCGAGGCACTGGAGAGCTTTTCCCGGGATAATCCCAGGAAGGTGGGACTGTAACGCTTTTTCTCTGGCCTGGCAGCAGCCCCAGCCCCAGCACTGTTAAAACGAAAGGTCCCAGGGTCAGGATGAGCACACGGGGCGGTTCCCAAACCCGGAATGTCCCCCAGACTCTGGCCAGCACGGGGGTCCTGCCGTGGCTGCTCACGTCCTTTCACCCCACGGCTCCTGGCCCTCGGTGCCACCCAGATCGGTGTTCCCTGCACCCAAATCCATCACAGCGTCACCCGCGCTCGTGTCACCGCCTGCTGCCGATGCCGACACCGGTGCCGGTGGCAGAGGCGATGCCAATTCCCGCAGTG